ATATATATATATAGGAATTAAACAGGGCCGCAGGGAAATAAAGTGGAAGTGGGAAATGGTTATAGAACACATTGGGCCCAAAAGCATCATTAAAATGAAATGCGTTTTCAAGCCGCTGCGTCCACCAATAGTTGCCAATCAATGTGAAAGTTACACAAAGTATCAAATCCTATATTTTATTTAAATATAACACAACCAAAATGCCATATTAATGTACCATAATGATCACTTATATTTATATATTCCCAAAATATACATAGTGGTCATGACGTTTGCCTATGGAATCGTGTTTTTTTTAATTCAATCTACGTAGTTAGCACCCAAAAAAAGGATGTTGGTAAATTATCTTGGAAAAAAAAAATCGGAATATTTATCCCAATTAAAAAAAGAAATTTATGCCATTGGCCCAATATTACATGTGATTACGCTAATTCAATCTTGTAAATAGATCTGTCTGAAACGCCAGTTTATTAATTAACCACATGAAATAAATGTACGCCTGTTTGGGATACGTGTATTACATTACCTTATAAAGAACATCATTTAAATGTTCGTTTAGGGTTTGGGTTTAATTTACATTAGAAATAAAATTAATGGACAAATAAAACCCATTATTATTCATTCAAAACTCATCCATTTACATATTCGGCAGACGAACTTCAAACACATGGAATGACAAAAACCCAAAATTGAAAAAAAAAAAAAAAAAAAAAAAAACATGTCTTGATGATCTTAAAAGATTATGATCGTTAAGAGTTGCAGCGACAAATGGACGACGAATCCGCCATCACCGGATAAGCCAAGCACGACGGCTTCGCGTCTCCGGCCAAAATCACGACGATCTTGGGCACCTCCGCCGTCAAAAACCCATCTCCGCCGCCGGATTTTGCCTCTCTTTCTTGAACATCTTCGCCATCGTTGTTCTGGTTGGTATTGCCGTTGTCAACAGAAGAAGAAGAGATTCTATGCGAACAAACCAATAAGAACAGAGACAGGGCGATGAGCAGAAGAACCACAGAGAGACCGCCGAAGAGGTACGGAACTGGCGAGTTCCATATGTTTATTCTTGGTGCTGTTTGGTTTGGTGTCGGCCTCATGTCTTCTCTTCTTTTCTTTTCTTTTCTTTTTTAATTTTTTTTTTGGAGGATTTGAATTTTGCAGGTGAGGTGATGAAAAAATAGTGGAACGTTGGAGAATTTATAGTGGGGGAGAAAGAACTCGAAATAATTGTATTTTTTTTATTCGGAGGGTCTTATGGTAATTTACATGTATATTTTCCGATTTTATTAAAGATTATATATATTCATTCAGCTTTGTTTAGGTTTTTAGTTTGTTTAGTGTTTCATTTCATTCTATTTGAATTCAGTTTTTTTAATTAAAAAAAAATATTTAATCGTTTTTTCAAATATTTTTATATTCGTTTCGAATTCAGTAGTATTTAATTAATTTAATTTGAAAAAAAAATTATATCCAATAAAATTTTGTATCGTATTCATTTAGAATCATACTGTTATATATTACTCAGTTAAGTTATTTCAATTTTATATAACCTAACCAAATATCTGTATCGACCCATAGAAGACGAGAGATTGGTTTTCTTTTTATTTATTTATTCAAATTTAAGGAAAAGATTCGTTGTGCTTTCAGATATTCGTTTGATTTCGTTTCGTTTCTCGTGTTTGTGACTGTTGGTAGTTCCTCGTGACGTCAACAACCGTACTCTCTAGTTTCATATAAATAAGGATTTAGACCTTCGACTAAGTTTGGTTCATATAAGTTTTGGCCATTACATTAAAATAAAAATGTAATTTTGTATCCATTCGAAACTCCCTCATCATCCACTAATTCCTAATTGCTCTATTTTCTATATATATATATACACACACACTCAATGTAAAACCATATAGTTTGCTATTTGAATACATTAGCAAAAAATTAACAATTTTCAGCTCAAATGCATATGGAAGTACGGATTTTGCCATTCTTACCGTTGTATACAATCATTACCATAATCACAATATTTTTGTAAATAACAACGATTTTATTGGATATAATTTTTCTATTTGTTACTTTGTTATGATCCATGAATTAGAGAAGGATATAAGTGGGTTTTGTCATTATTCCATTTTCTTAGTTTTATTTCTTAAAAAAACATATCTATTGGTTTTTGTTTTATATAATATCTACGATTCAATTTTTATTTAAAATAAAATATTTTTTTAAATTTTCGATTATTATTTATTTTATTTAAAATAAAAAATCAATTTAGTTTTGAACAATTGCATATATTTATTTTTAGATGAGATTTATTTTAGGATGATGGATTCTAAAAGAATGAAGTGTGTATATATTTGTCTTAGAATGTATTGAATATCTTAATTACTAGAGTAATTCGGAAGCAAATTAAAATTTTAGTTATGACGTTTCGATAAAAAAAAATAAAAATAAAACGTACGGTCCAATCGTATATATATTATTGTTAGGAATGATGGGAACAAATATTGGATTCTAGGATTCTATTTAAATGGCGAAACCGACAAGGCGGCGTCATGTTATATATATATATATATATATATTTTTGTCATATTGAAAATAATTACAAACGTAGAAAAGATGAAAGAATTGCGTAATTAGTCAAATTCCGTCAATCTCAAGTGGAAAGCCCCCACGCATTAAACAATATAAATACTAACAATAAAAATATATATATATGTTAGTATTTGTTATTGGAGTTGATATCGACCACCTTTATGATCATGATGAAATATGTGCCCCACAGGCCACAGTAACAATGAAAGTTAATTTTGGAATTTTTAATAAATGGTAAAATTAATTTTGTAATAAAAAATAATTTCATAAGTTAAAAAAAACAAAGATATTCTGTATATGTTGTCAAAACTGATTTACATTATTAGCATATATAAATTTCGGATGGGAATCGAGTTTAATAACAATAATATTATATAATAACCACAATTTCAACTGTCCACCACCAATTAAAAGCAACATAGAAGTGCATTTCACTTTTTGGACTATTTTGGCCATACAAAACAACAATAAACCCCACTTGCAATTGGGAGTAGGATTTTGTGGAATGTTTTACACAAATTAAATATATATATGTATGTATGTATGTATGTATGTATGTATGTATGTATGTATGTATGTATGTATGTATGTATGTATGTATGTATGTATGTATGTATGTATGTATGTATGTATGTATGTATGTATGTATGTATGTATGTATGTATGTATGTATGTATGTATGTATGTATGTTATATATATATATATTCATAATGTATGTATGTATGTATGTATGTATGTATGTATGTATGTATGTATGTATGTATGTATGTATGTATGTATGTATGTATGTATGTATGTATGTATGTATGTATGTATGTATGTATGTATGTATGCATGTATGTATGTATGTATGTATGTATGTATGTATGTATGTATGTATGTATGTATGCATGCATGTATGTATGTATGTATTTCATTTCAATTTTCCGACTCTCCAAATATTAAATTTTGTCTTAAATATTTTTATTTATAGATAGATTATATCGCGCTTTCTATTTTGTTAATACTCTTAACAAAATTTTAGATTGCAATTTAATATATTATTATCAATTGAAATATTCTCTTTTTCACTACTAAAATAACTTTAACCATTTTTATTCGTTTGAAAATTCGAAAAGTTTAGTCCTTGACCATTTTTATAATATTAGATATTCGAATCATTTATACAGTTTTTTTAAGGCAAGATTTATTTATAAATTAGGATGAATAAAAAAACTTTATTATTCATAAATAGATCATTGATGTATCGACCCTACTGCCAATCCCATTCTATTTATCTGTGGGCAAAAGCTGACAACAATCCACAAATTAGAATTAGATTTGAATAATAACGTTTTCGGGACGTCACGTCCAACAATGCTTATCCAAATTATAGTTGGCCAATGTTACAAACTAATTTCCATCATTAAATTACCTAATCATTATTTAATTTTAATTTAAATCCCCTACGATACCACTGACAAATAATGGATTCATCTATTGCAATACCAAATACCAATTATCAGTTGAAAGATTTTTAAAATCTTAAATATCTTGAAACTATGAAGGAAATCTTAGGAAATACACAAATTATTTATAGATTTAAAAAATTATTTATTTATTCACATATTCAAATATGTTAAATCATGGGTCGGATTCAAAAGCATTGAACCGTTCATACCATTTCACCGTAAGCCTTATACTCAATTTAGCAAAATGCATCTTACGAGTACAACATGTATATAATTTACTAAAATATGTACATGCATATACATATGTTTTCTCTGTGTTAACCGAAGAATCAAACTAACAAAATGAAAAATAATAATAATAATTAAGTGTAAGAGTGGAAACAAAGCTAATCTAATTAAGCTTTTCTCAAGATTGCTCTTTAAAAGCATCAAACTTTAATGGCTTGGCAAAGAAGGTAGGGTTTTCATCGCCGGCCATTACAACGACAATCTTTGGCTCCATGTCCAAAGGCTTCAAATCTTCCTTCTTCTTCGTCGGGTTTTCTCCTTCTCCTTCATCTTCTTCCCGATATGAATTAGGAGTCTCGATCTTGTAAGAGCAAGCCAATATCACCAGTGAAACGGCGATTAGCCCTAACATTAACCCTAGCCCGCAAAAGAGATACGGAACAGGAGAGTTCCAATGGTTAAACCCGGATTCGATGTTTACTGTCGAGTTGCTAATCGGCCTCATCGAGCTCTCCTCGTTATCGAAATTTCCTCTTGCTTTGATTTATCTCTCTTTTGAGATTAATCTGTGGTTTATGGAGTTTAATAACACCGATGTTTTGAATTTATAGAAGTAGAAAAAAGATGAGGGATTTCCACAGTGTTTGGATTAAGACAATGTGTTAATTTAACATCCGATGCCAACTTGGTCTTTGGGGTTTTGTCCGAAAAGAATGATTCTTTCTTGAAATGTTAAGTGATTCTTTGTGTTTTTCTTTTCTTTTATACGACACACTATGTTTTATTCTTTAATTAATAAGATACGCTTCTCTCTTTCGTACGTTAGATTTTCTTATAAATTTAATTTAATAACTGAGTTATTATTTAAGTACACATACGTGCATTTTTCTTCCTGCACCATCAAGATTTGACTGAATTGTTAGTCACGTTTTCATTTTTTTAATCATTAATTAGAATTTTATACGTATTTTCGACAAGTATATGAAAGAGACGATGCAATACAAGCTCGACGTCGTATGTGCGGAACAGTCTAATCATTGACCATATCAAATTTTGTAGAATCAAATCCAAAACGAATCATATAAAATAAGAACGAGTGAAAACAAATATAGATATTCTATAACATCATGGATAAGAATGCGTAACATTTTTGGTGAAATGGATTTTAAAAAAAAAACTTGGGGTGGTGCCCATTGGAAATTTGTTGGTTAAACCCCTAGTATTATATTGTAATATTTTATAGCAGATATTTTATAATTGGTTATAAAAGAATAAAGAATAAAAAATAACAAATTTAAAAATGTGATTTGAAAAAATTAGAAAAAAAAAACAGGGGATAGTGGTGGTGGTGGGGTTTGGTAGCAAACAAAAAGCTGCGTTGGTGAGTGGAGGCCAAAAGGGGTATTTTGATTTCGAACGTAAATTTAATTATTTTACAAAAAGTGGTTAATTTTTCTATAAAACGTATATTATATATCTAATTTATTGTTTTGTAACAACGTCTGAACAATGTTCAGGGATAACTATGCAAATTTTCGAGTAATTTATGGTGAAATATGAAAGGAAAATCAACTAATTGATATATTTTCGATTTTAATTTTATTTTAATTACAGATTCTTTCACTATGAGAAATGTTTGGTAATAAGGTAATCTGAATGTTATCCTAATAACATATTACTTGGTGCGCTATAGTAGATAATGTGACAGGTTGCCCTAATTGATATGGCTATCTAGGAATTCAAATGTAATATGATCAAAATAATAAAAATTTTAATAATATTTGTACTACAATATTTTGAAATTTATGATTATGTTATCCGTTAAGATTGATTATATTGGTTTAAATTTTTTTAATGGAAACGTTGTCATGCTATGATTTTAAATATTAAATAAATATATAATATGAATGGTATGAAAATCAAATAAGATCAAGAGCAAATATCGTTTATTAATGAAAAGAGAGAATTACATAAGACTGTTATCATGACTAGAGGATCCAAAATAATAAAAAATGATAAATAAAATTCTTAGAAATGAAATAAATAATTGAAATCCGATTATAAGACCCAAAATCAAATATATTTTATTATAGCAAAAGTAATAGCTAATCGCAGGATCCTCACTTGTTCATGCCTGTTGCATCTTTCACTGCGTCTGCAGCTCCTTGTGCCTTCGCTTTCACCTGTTGACCAGTCTGTATATACATACAAAATAATTAAAAAAAACACATTCCACATAAATATATATGCATATATATTATCATATATATTATGTAATATGAGAAATTTAAAAATATTTGATTTCAAAAGTTTTTTTAAAACTTATTTATCTTATTAATTAAAAAGATTTTTTTTTTTTGTGTATGTACTAACCTCCTGCATGGATTCCTTGGCTGATTGAGCAGCGCATGAACCAATACATTATACAAATGAATATTGGCAACAACCCCTGACTTAACCATCTTCTTGAAAATCTTCCAAACTGTATCAGTAGATCTCTCCTTCACCAGACTATTCAGTAGCACAGTACAAGCTTGCAAATGAGGCATCAACCCACAACTCCTAATCTGCTCAAACACCTCAATGGAATCACGAGTCATACCGGATTTGGCATAAAATATCATAATCCAGCTGAAAACGTGGGAAAGGACTTCTGGGTCCTCATTAGCACCGCCTGCCAGAGATCTCAAAACCAAAGGAGACGACAAAAGCTCCCTTTTGGATATTCTATCGAGCAACTGGTGTGCGGTTTTGAAATGCTTGTGTTTCGTAAGAACCAATATTATAAGTAAATATATGTGGGTAATTCAATATTTATTTATAAATATTTTTAAATGATATTTTTGTAATTGGTTATATTAGGATTAATATAAGATTTTGTTATCATAATATATCCATATAATGCATTATAAATATGATTAGGCCTTCTACCTTATAATTTTATTTTTTTTACAACATTAATTTTTTAAGTCATGTAATAATAAAAAAAACTTTTTTAATAAATATAATTTTTTTTTTACCTGGGCTTGGCCCTTGGCCTGACCGGCTTTGAAGCTCATCTGCTGACTGTTGTCTGCCATTTTTGCTCTGTGAATTTGTAAAAGCTCAATTACAGAGATTAACTTTTTTTGATTTCGATTAAGAAAGTGATTAACCGGTGCTAATGATTAGCGTTTCCCAAACGTTTCACAATTTATAGATCTTCTGAAGCTCTCATTTGCTGACACGTGTCCAAGATTATTGGTTGGTTTGGGGATCCGGGCAAAACACTTGGTCGGCATTGCCTCATCAATCTCATAATCTGCTAATTGATCCGTAATTAGTTCAGAGTCTTGAGGGTTTTGAGTTTGACTCGTTCTAAATCCTAATTATTTTATGAATCATTTATGTAACCCATATCAAAATTTTGTTTATATACATTATATAAAAAAGATTTCTAAATAAAGAAAGAACATACAACCAATAATTATTTACTTCTTTAATCATATATTCTTACAAATGTTTTGGGTTTGATCAACGGAAATATTTCAATATAGAATACACATCAATGTTATACAAAAAAAAAAAGGGGGGGGGGGCGTGAAGCTTTTGCTTTTGCATTGCCGATGCCAATGGCTCAACGCCCTTTTCAACACTAAAGCTTCCTCCTCGTCCAAATCTCTCCGCACGATGAGAAGTAGAACACACAACTCCGTTGAAGATCGATCAATGCTACGTATTTCTTAGCGCATTCATGAATCAAACAACTCAAAATATCCCAAAACCTTGAACCATGTTTGACGCTGTTCAAAGGTCTCTCGCCCCGAATATGCTTATTTGATCATTTTTCTTCACCCGAAGAAGCTTGGACTGTGCCCGAGAAGCTCAAAAGATCGGATCTTAACCCCGAAGGCATGAGAAATATGAATCAGCATTTCATGATTTGTGCACAGCTTCTATAGTCTCTTCACGACAAATTCGGTGCATTTGTTTCAGAATACTTTTGGACATGAGACCTCTATCGGCCACATGACTCCAAAATAGGCTCAAGATATCATTATCTCCGGCATTTGAAGCGCTGAGGGATCGATACAGTTGGAGATTTATCATCAATCTTCGCTTGTACATTATGTCAAAGAGAACTGATGCTTCATTGACCTTCCCTGTTCTCCAATAGGCGTATGCTATGCTCGTGTATATCACGCTATCTCCTGCTATACCCTTTTGTTTCATTGATTCGTACAACCCTTTAGCGTAATCGACCTGTTGCAATCTACAGAGCCTTCTTATCAGTGCCCTGTATAGAGAAACATCGGGGAAAAGGCCTCTTTCTTCAAACTCCTTGGGAAGTTTCATGATTTCTTCTTGCTTGTGCTGATTACAGAATCCATCAACGAGCCAGGAATAGGTTGAGTATCCTGGAGATAGCCCTTTCCCGACCATGGAAAACAGCTGCTCTTTTGCACTATCTAGTTCCAGCACTTTACAGAACCCGTGAATCAATGCCTTGTAAGAAAACAGATCAAGCTTTAGCCCCGCATCAAGCATCTTGTCCTTCACCTTCACCGCCGATTTCATATCTCCGATCTTGCAGTATGCGTTGATCAATGTGTTGCAGGTGACATTATCTGGTTCTATTCTTTTCCCACTCATATCATTCAAAAGCCTGTTAGCTTCTCTTATTCTTCCATCTTCACATAGCTTACGTAGAATCGAGTTGTAACTCACAATCCCAGGAGAGAACCCTTTTCCCTCCATAACCTCATGTAACCTCAAAGCTTCATCCATATCATTCACTCTACAATACCCATCAATCAAAGTAGTGTAGGTCACGTGGTTGGGCACAATGCCTTTGATCTCCCGAAATAGCCTCACGGCCTCCCTCATTCTACCTTCTCTACAGAATCCGTGTATAAGTGAATTATAGGTCACAATATCAGGAGCAATCCCACTTCTCTCCATCCTATCCTGAACTGATAACGCCTCGTAGTGCATACCTTTTTTACAATACAACACGATCAACGTGTTATATGTAAAAAGGTCAGGAAACACGCCCTTTTCTTCCATCTCGCTCAATAACTTCTCTGCTTTCTCAACGTCACCAGCCTCAGCACAAGCATGAACCAATACATTATACAAATGAATATTGGCAACAACCCCTGACTTAACCATCTTCTTGAAAATCTTCCAAACTGTATCAGTAGATCTCTCCTTCACCAGACTATTCAGTAGCACAGTACAAGCTTGCAAATGAGGCATCAACCCACAACTCCTAATCTGCTCAAACACCTCAATGGAATCACGAGTCATACCGGATTTGGCATAAAATATCATAATCCAGCTGAAAACGTGGGAAAGGACTTCTGGGTCCTCATTAGCACCGCCTGCCAGAGATCTCAAAACCAAAGGAGACGACAAAAGCTCCCTTTTGGATATTCTATCGAGCAACTGGTGTGCGGTTTTGAAATGCTTGTGTTTCGTAAGAACCAATACCATTTTCCATGAAGATTGCAAGGAATGCTTGTAACCCGACAACGAACCAACCCATTTGAAGAAACCCCATGAAAGAGGAAGACCGCCATAACCAGCACATAGAAAAACCTCGGAGAGTACCCGGTTGATGATCGTGGATGTTAATAAACCCGAATCGAATTTGGGTTTCAAGATCTTGCTCCAGTTTCCCTTCAGCACAGCCGCGCAGACGCTTTGAACAATTAGGGTTTCTCGATTTGCAGAGATCCAATTCACCATTGTTGTCGAGACCTCGACCGTTGACGGCCGTTGCGTCTATCGATGTCCATGGGCTGCGTTCTGCTGTTATTTCAATTTAAGATCTTATTTTAAAATTGGGCCTTAATGGGCCTCCATGGTGTTATGGTTTAATGGGTTGGATTGAACTATTAAGTCTGGGAGTGTCCATTTAGGCCCGAGGCCCGGTCTGACCCGGCCCGAAACATAGCGAGCTCCGGGCCGAGTGCGGATTCGGGCCGGGCCGGCTTGACACCCCTACATGCAGGGCATCTTCTAACCCATGGGTTTAGGGTTTAACTGAATCTGCTCACTGGCCGTCGCTGATCTCTTCGGGAAGCAATTGAAGGCGGCGTTAAAGTCCGCGAAGATAGTTCGGCGAACAACAAGGGTACCCATCTGACGATTCCGAAAACTGCTGCCGGAAATTCGAAGAAGTTAATTCCATCTCAGATTAGTTTTCTGTGAATTGAGGTATGTTCAATCCAATTAGATTGTTTGTTTACAATGTTTTAGTTAAAGATATGTTCAAATTCTCCAATCTTATTTTGATTTTCATGTGTTTTCCCTCTGATTTTCGAAGGAATCCGACATTTTTGCTGGATATCGAGCAACTTGGTCTTCTGTTAGTTGATGATTTGAGAAATGTCACTAATGTAAATGAGAAACGATTATCGATGACAAGAATTTGAAAATTCTCTGGTTTTCTTCGCAGAGGTATGTTCTTCAGTTAACTTGCGACAAAGGAGCATATTCAGCCAGCACAAGTCCATTAAAAAACCAGAAGAAGATGTTAGCGAAAGCGGAGAAGAAGAGGAAGCAGAAAAGAAGCGATGTTGATACGAGCGAGCATTCTCAAGCTGCTGTTAAAGGTGAAGCTGCGTTCTTTTGTTTTAGCTGTTTATGCAATCAGCTTGCATGCTTTTTTCTTGGCCAGATTTGTTGGATCTCGTTGTTGTCGAACATATTTGCGTGTTTCAGTTCGTGTTTTGGATTGCCTCACCACACCTTTAGCTTGTTCTCGACAATATCGACCATGGGAAGAAAGCTAGTCATAGAGGCAAATATTGAACCTTGGGCGGTGTTTAAACGTGGGGACATTCTTCTTCATAGTTTAGCCTCAAAATTCATCCGCTACATTCGATTCTTTGTACCATTTTCTTTGAACAAGGGTGTCATGGTATAATTTTATAGCTCTGGCTGTGCGGATGAATGCCACCATTTAAAAGAAAATATTACATACAATAGCAAGCTTGTCCTCGATAGTGTCGTGGTATTGATTTTGCCATCCTTTCTTGTTGCAGCTGCTTCAAACGAGAAAAGCAAAGTAAAGAAGGATAAATTGATGAAGAAGAAACCTAGGATTGTTGAAAGGAATAGTTCTCTGGTTGATGTTCAGGTTGCCAAACAGATGGACAATGATGTTCTGAAAATACAAGGTTCGTAAGTTCATCACCGTGTTAGTTTTGTTTGTCTATTATTTTTGTTGGTATGTGGATGGAACCTCGGCAAGATTCAATTATCCATTAAAGTTTACGTTTGTAGTGTATGTAAATCCCCATATCTTGACATATGTGATGCTATTCTCCATTTGATGTTCCTTTGTAACATGTGTTTGAGTTTGAGCTTGTCTTGTTTGATTGCCTCACCACACCTTTAGCCTGTTCCTGACGATGTCAACCATGGGAGCAAGGCTAGTCATAGAGGCATATATTGAACCTTCTTCGGTGGTGCTTAAACGTGGGGACATTCTTCCTCATAGTTTAGCCTCAAAATTCATCCACTACATTCGATTCTTTTTACCCCATAATTCTAGGGATTTGTGTTTGAGGGCGGATGAATGCCACCAGCAAAGAAAAGATTGCGTGCAATAGCAGGCTTGCCCCTGACAGTGTTGGTGTACTGATTTTACCATCTTTTTTTCTTGTTGTAGATGGTTCAAATGAGAAAAGCAAAGTAAAGAAGGATAAATTGAAGAAGAGGATGAAGAAGAAACCTAAGATCGAGGAAAGGAATAGTTCTCCGGTTGATGATCAGGTCGACGAACAAATGGAAGATGATCTTACAGAAATAGAAGGTGCATGAATTCATTGTCATGTTAGTTTTGTCTATTATTTATGTTGGTCTATACTAGGAACTTTTTCAAGATTCAATTATCCCCTGAAAATCCCAATATGTTATGACATGTGAGGCTAATGTTTGTATGTTTGACAGGTAATGGTGTTCAAACTCATAAAGGGTCTGATGAAACTGCAAATGCAGTTGCTCCTGATAAAGGGACAAAGATAAGAAACCGTAAGTTCACAAAACACTCAAAAAATTTCCATCATTTAATCTGAAGAGAAATTTGGTGAATTGTGTGAAGTCTGTGGTCTACGGGAATAGTCTATGTTTAGTCCAGTTAATTGTTTCCTTTAGGCAAATCCAAGAAATCGAATAAGAAGAAAAGGAGGGATCCTACATCTTTGGACGCTAATGAAAACTACCAAGGAAAGACCAATGAAGTGGAAGAAGACGAAGTTTATCAGATTTCTTCAGGCGATGAGGATTGCTCGAGAGGAATGAAAAGTATGAACAACTAGCTAACATACGATAAGCCTTGCACGCTTTGCTTTGAAAAATCATGTTCCAGAGATATATTCTCAGTGGTTTCGATAATATTTTAATGAATGCCTGCTTGAAACTGCAGAATGGGTCACGGATTACTATACAAGTAGACCTGGTTTGAAAGAGTTACAGAAAAGAATCGATGACTTTATAATTGCTCACGAAGAACGCCTCGAACAGGTATGTCATAAGTTAACCAAATGTCGTAACTTTGATCTAAGATTAACACCTTTCCCGGATATGTCGTGATTTTTTAACAGGAGAGGAAAGAAAGAGAAGCTAAAGCGGAAGAAGGAGGATGGACGGTGGTCGTGCATCACAAAGGGAGGAAAAAGACAACGGATTCTGAATCTGGAATAACGGTCGGGTCGGTTGCTCAGGCGGCTGTGGAGGACAAGTTGGCCAAGAAGAAGCAGAAAGAAACAGTTGCCCCCGATTTCTACCGTTTCCAGAAACGCGAAGCTCACCGCAATGGTAATAACCTCGAATATCATCCTTTCCTTCGAAACCCGAGATAAAAAATCGATCCTTTTTGCATGGTACTGGTGCAAATGTTCTTCATTTTTTGGCTTCTGTTTATGCTTTTGTTGTGTGTGTGTGTTCTTTGGACAGAACTCATGGCGCTTCAGAGCAAGTTCGAGCAAGACAAGAAGAGGATACAACAACTTAGAGCAGCTCGTAAGTTTAAACCTTATTAGATATGCTCTCAAAGGTCCTAGTGCTTTGATTCGAATCTTTTGCATTTTGTAATTGACATTTTCGTTTTAAATGTCACGGTTTTGTATCCATTTAAAAAAAAATAGATTGGTCTCTTTTTTTTATCCGAACTAAAAAAGATATGCTAAAAGCATTATTATTATTAATCAGGAAAGAAACATATTAACATACATTGCGAAACTTAAATTCGAATAATTTCTTAAATCTACATTTTGAAGTCTTCACTCACACAATCGCAGCCTTCAATCTCCTCTTGAGCTCCTTCCTACGAACACGAAACCAAACAAACACCATTCAAAACCGGAATTTTACGGAACGAGCTAAACCGGTGATACCAAAACCAAACCGGAACATAAGCAGGGAAAACCGATGGTTTTACCTCATAAGTTGGCGGTCAAGGGACGTAGTGGCGAGCATTCCCCGGTTCTCCTCCGCCCGTCTGAGCAAGTATGGTATCGCTGTCTCGACCGGTCCAAACGGCATGTACTTGCTGACGTTGAAACCTGCCTTCTTCAGCCCGAACGACAAGGAATCCGACATCCCGTACAACTGCGCAAACTCGATCTTCCTCTCCTCAATATCGATCCCGAGATCCTTCGCCTTCTTCACCGCTAGTTTACCTGCGGTTAAATCCCAAATATCCGAATGTATTTGAATATTTTGTCGGATACGAATGCGAATAGAAAACAAAACAAGTTGAGGTTTAGTCGTCACCTGAATCGGTGTTATGAGTGGCGAGAACGACACCTACGCCCGAACCACTCGCGGCCTTCTCGAGCAAGAACGACATGCATTCGTTGTAGCTAGCGTGAGTCTCCTGGATAGTGTCGTGAACCGGTGACTTGCAACCCAAGGAACTCGCCAGTCTCCCCTCGCTCGACATGTAAGCACCTCTCACGAGCTTGAACCCTAAAGGAACTCCCGATTTCTCGGCTTCTCGTAAAGCCAAGTGCAATCTCTCCCCCGAATCTTTCAGATACGCCTGAATCGTATTGTACACTATCGGTCTCCTCTTGTCGGAATTGAACAAGATCGCCGACCAATACGCCATGTAATCGATCGCGGGTTGGAGGATCGTGTCCTCGGCGTCGATCAACAACGGTACATTGGCCTCTTGACACGCGCGGCATATGGTTCGTAGCCTTTCGTGTGCGTTTTCGAGCTCTCGTTCTTCCTCTCCGGTCAACGGTTCCGGCTTAGAGTGGGTGTGGTAAAGTGGGCTTGAACCGGAGAAAACCGGCAACGTCTTGAGCTTCCAAGGGAGAACAAAACTAGGGTTTTTGTATTGCCAACGAAGCAGGTCGCTCACTCGTCTCAACAAGCTGATCGGACAAATCGCCGTTATCTTCACAACCACGGAGCTAACCTGCGTGCATCAAAACCGGAGTTTTCCAGATCACGATCTTCTAAACCGGAAAATCAGTAAACCGGTTGAACCGAATCTTCTGTAATAAGGTCAATATTACACGTAGGGCTTACGTGTTAACCGTGTCAACTCTGACGCGTTGCTTTTATTGTTCGCCGTACAAAACACAACTCGACAAGCGCCAAAAAAAAGAAGGTTTTTTTCGTACAATGCGTATAAAACTGAGTTGAAACGGACAAGTTTAATTACTAACCAATGAACATCTTTTTTTTTTTTTTTTGTAAAACTGTATCTGTGTGTGTATATGTGTATATACTTCTTTGGAAGTGTACGTAAAGGCTAAAGCGATCGAAGCAACTTGTTCAAAACAGAGCAATGAGGAAATTGGAATTAAGAATCAAAACCCAGAATTAAGAAAATAATACGATAATTAAATCTTACGTAATCAGAAGGAACTGCTCTCGCGGCATCGATGGTCTCGAGGAACTTCTGCATATTGTCGTCACACGCGCCGCCGTCGTCGGAGTGTTCTACGCCGTAGACGAGCATACCCTTTAGACCCGTAGACTCGTACACGCGTCTCACGCGTCGCCCTGCCGCCGCCGCGTCCTCTCCGGCGCAGAAGTGATCGTAGAACGTCCTCCTTACGATTCCGTTAACAATTTCCCTCGTTGTCGCCATGTCCATGAGTTTGGAGCTCATGACCCATGACCCAAGATCGACCATTGGCCCGATCGCCGCCGCATGGAGCACAGCGGTGGAGCGTAGGAGCTCCGTCGTGGGAACGCCGGCGAAGAGTCTGGCCTCGTCGGAGATGTCGAGGTCGGGGATGGATTTGGGTTGCAGAGGCTCGGGCTCGTCGGGTTTTGGTTGTCCGAAGGCGAGGATGTCGGGGACGGCGGCGGTGGAGGCGGCGGCGGAGGGATTTCCGACGAGGGGGGTCGCAGGGGAGGAGCAGCGGATACGCCGGAGGAGGGTCGGTGATCGGAGGAGACGGGTTGCCATAAAAGTCGGAGACTTTTTTTTTGTATGTTCGTATTTCTCGATGTCTCTGTTTTTTTTCTTCTCCTCTTCGCCCTATTTCAATTATTCTTCTCTTTTGCCTAAAGCGCCCCGAGAGAGATTCACGTCTATATATAGGCGCAGACCCAAAAATATGCACACTTCTACACGTATTGTGTATATATATATTTGTACGTATTACATATACACATATACGTATTTATAGCGTGTGTGTTTGCATGTTTGTCTCCGTTTAGGAGAAGGAACTTAATGCCTTAATGGAAGAAAATCCTTATCATGTCCGGATTCGGGAAAAAGAAAAAAGAAAAACGAATTTAATTTTGTATTGTCTATAGTTGTAAACTGGAATCTTTTTTTATTAATGTGCAAATATTCTGTCGCATTTACACAAAAAGCGATAAAAAATACTTAGTAAAACTTGGAATCTTTTTTTCTTAATATGCAAATATACTTATATTGTCATTAACATTTAAAAAATTACGCGTAATATCGTGGATCCAAATATTGACACAAAGTCTCTTTTTTTTATAATCCGAAAATTCATCGAATATATCATAAATATTATATAATCATGTACGTGATATTGGTTAATAGTAGTAATTTTTTTTACATAAAACTGTATTGATATTGAAATTGGAGTCGTACATATAAATTGTAACTTTAGAATGGAGATATATGCCATCCGAAATTGTAGGATTTATTATTATTATTATTATTGTTGTTATTATTATTATTATTATTTTGTGCGATGGACCGTAATTTTCTGACATGACTTCTGAGGATAAATGAATAAATGGAGGCTCAGAGACAGCAAGAGCTGAGTCATCGGATAAATATTAATTAATTGTATATTTATATGAAAATTTGTTGAAATGAAAATCATTTAATTTAATATTAATGACGAGATAATGTGTGGTGGGGGAGGTGAGTGGGTGGTGAATCGGATGCGACGAGGACTGTCTCTGAATCTTTGACTTTTCTCACTTGGGAATCTCCACAACAACAAAATTAAACACGTTTTCCTTTTTAATTATATCGAATCGAACAAAAAGTGTATATATCTATCTAATTTGTATTTGAAATAACAAAAACTAACATAACGTAATAAGGAATAAATATTTTATAAAAATTAAATTGAAATAAGCTCGTAATCGAACGAAATTTCTAGATGATATAATTTAAAAACAAAAAAACAAAAATGCGAATATATCCGATAACGCAACCGACATGCAGTAGACCTCAAAAGAACAAAACTGATCGTACGTGTAATCCATGCATTAAAATTATGGTTAAAAGCAGAAAATAAGAATGAAAATTCCGCCGTGGTATATATAAAACGTTTGTTTCTTTTATTCGGATTCCCATTGCAAAAAAAAAAAATGCATTTACTATATGAGAATTTCACTGTCACGTGCTTCGAACCGATTATATCTATATACCACTGTGATAATTTATTGATAAATTGGTACTTGGATTTAATTCAAAATATAAAAAATATCAATGAATAATTATAATTTATAACGATAAGTCCCGAGTAAAAGTTGTTTTTTCTTATAGTGAGAGAATATAAATCTATTTCTCAAATCCAATCAATGTATCAAGCAACGGTAGAATTTTGTCAAATAAATTAAAAACTGGACCAAATTCCCCCAATGTGGGAGTGTTGTTGTGTTTATAGTTGGAAAGATAATATATAAATATTCTTATAATTAATTTTGATGTGACTTAGACCGTCAAAATCAAAGTTTGTATTTTATTTGTTTAATATTTTGGGATTAAAAAAAGGGAATCGGTGGACGGAGGAGACAGAGACAGCGAGAAAGTCACGTGAGGAATTTATGGGATGGTGGACGACAACCACCGTATCCATCCAGCTGTAGCCGCCATTCCCATTGGTCCGTCCATGCAATTGCACTTTACAAAATTATTTTTGTTACTTAAATGATTCCCATGTTCCATCATTGATATAAAAATTATAAATATTGTTAAAAGGTAATTTCTACTCGTTTTTTCACTGATTATGGGTTTCAATGCTCTTATTACCCAATTAAATTGGTTGATGTTGAGTTATAGGTAGTTTTCTTGTTACCATTGAAAAATCCTTTAAATTCAATTTCATTATCTCAATAAATTCACTTATCTAAAAAAATTATCATTATGATATATATATGTAATAGTTGATCATTAACTAAATAATCGTTTCCTATCGTTGATTTCTAAAATATATAATGTTGTTATTGACGAAAAAAATAAAATAAATCGGGTAGAATTTGGCAAAATCTGGTATTCGGTGTAACACCGAAATATTAGTATTTGATTTTGCATGGCTCACGACACCTGGTTCCGGGGCACAACGAGATGAGATAAATGGGGGCCTGAATATTGGAATTTAATTAACTTTAATTTCAACACATTATTGTTGTGTGTTGCGAGAAATAATTAGATTATGCTCTCGTGACTGTGAATTTTGGATGTTGGAACATATTGAAATTTAATCATATATATATATATATATAAATCAATTTGTAACAAACAATTATTTCCTTCACAAAAAATTAAAAATAAGTCATCAATGTGTTGGTAATTTACTAATTTTAAAGTACCGTCTCTTAGAGGCACCGTTGGGCCGCCAAAAATCCACCGTGGCAACCGATCGACAGCTCATTGAACCGGAAGGACAAGGACCGATTCGGTTCGATTTGCAATTAGATTTCGGTTCGGTTCGAACTTATTGCAAACCAGGCATCTCTGTTTTTTTTTTTTTTTTTTTTTTTTTTTTTTTTTTTTTTTTTTTTTTTTTTTTTTTTT